TAATAGGACTTGAGGACCCAAGGGTATCCCCGAATAGTAGCACTTGAGGACCCAAGAGTACCTCCCAATAATAAGACATGAGGATCCAAGGTACCTTCCAATAGTAGCACTTGAGGATCCAGGGATACCTCCCAATAATAGGACTTGAGGACCCAAGGATACCCCCAATAAGAGGAGTTGAGGACCTAAGGGTACCACCAAATAGTAGCACTTGAGGACCCAAGGGTACCCCCAATAGGACTTGAGGACCCAAGGGTATCCCGCAATAATAGGACTTGAGGACCCAAGGGTACCTCTCAATAATAGGACTTGAGGACCCACGGATACCCCCAATAATAGAACTTGAGGACCAAAGGCTACCTCTCAATAATAGGACTTGAGAACCCAAGGGTATCCCCGAATAGTAGCACTTGAGGACCCAAGAGTACCTCCCAATAATAAGACATGAGGATCCAAGGTACCTTCCAATAGTAGCACTTGAGGACCCAAGGATACCTCCCAATAATAGGACTTGAGGACCCAAGGATACCCCCAATAAGAGGAGTTGAGGACCTAAGGGTACCTGCCAATAATAGGACTTGAGGACCCAAGGGTACCTTCCAATAATAGGAGTTGAGGATCCAAGGGTACCTCCCAATAAAAGAAGTTGATGACCCAAAGGTACCCCCAATAGTAGGACTTGAGGACCCAAGGATACCTCTCAATAATAGGACTTGAGGACCCAAGGGTATCCCCGAATAGTAGCACTTGAGGATCCAAGGGTACTCTCCAATAATAGGACTTGAGGACCCAAGGGTACCTTCCAATAATAGGAGTTGAGGATCCAAGGGTACCTCCCAATAAAAGAAGTTGATGACCCAAAGGTACCCCCAATAGTAGGACTTCAGGACCCAAGGATACCTCTCAATAATAGGACTTGAGGACCCAAGGGTATCCGCGAATAGTAGCACTTGAGGATCCAAGGGTACTCTCCAATAATAGGACTTGAGGACCCAAGGATACCCTCCAATAGTAGGACTTGAGGACCAAAGGCTACCTCTCAATAGTAGGACTTGAGGACCCAAGGGTATCCCGGAATAGTAGCACTTGAGGACCTAAGAGTACCCTCCAATAATAGGGCTTGAGGACCCAAGGATACCCTCCAATAGTAGGACTTGAGGACCCAAGGGTACCCCCAATAATAGGAGTTGAGGACCCAAGGGTACCCTCTAATAGTAGCACTTGAGGACCCAAGGATACCTCCCAATAGTAGGACTTAAGGATCCAAGGATACCTCTCCATAATAGGACTTGAGGACCCAAGGGTATCCCGCAATAGTATGGCCGTTACCCGTTCGTCGGTAACTGATAACGGTAACTTCCCACCCCTAATTATGGATACCTGCTTTATATCAAAATATGGTTGCAAACATAAACTACTATGCGAGTGAACCGGTAACCGGTCTGAACCGGTTACCGGTTCATGGTGAGTACCGGTTCACCGGTTACCGGTTCATACCGGTTACCGGTTCATGGCGGGTACCAGTTCATACCGGTTACCGGTTCATGGCGGGTACCAGTTCATACCGGTTACCGGTTCCTATCGGTTACCGGTTCACCGGTTACCGGTTCGTATCGGTTACCGGTTCACCGGTTACCGATAGACCGGTTACCGTTTAGGCCGGTTAACGTCACCGTTGCACCCCTAATAACAAGCATGACTATTTTTAGGAACTTTTCATATGTCATTAGGGCCTGCTTCACAGGAAGATTTTAATTCCAAAATAACATATATAGTCTAGAAAGATTCTTGAAAAGATATATTATCCAAAATAAATTTACTCTTTCAATTCAAATGTAACAGATCGAGTTTAGTTCGTGAAGCTGGAGACAGTCCTTATATCTTTTCAGAGGTTATCTAGAAGAAATTTGTGTTCCCATTTTATTGTTATCGGCAAATGAGATCTGAGCAAGGCTTTTCTACACTATAATCAAGACAGAACATTCTGCTTTTCGGATCAAATAAGAGATTGGGCTAGTTTCTTCCTCGTATGACTTGGACGATACCATGATCTGTTCTGACTGTATTGAAGGAAATCTTTACTCAGGTCTGATTGGGTGCCCTAATCGACTCTTCCTCGGGAAATCCCTCAGGAGTCCCGACTGGTTTTAAAATCCACAGAATTCCATGTCGGGAGTCCTCGGAAAATTAAACAAAAAATGAAAAAATTTTCTATAAAATTCTTATCAGAAGTTCCGACAATTAACCAAAAAATAGGAATATCTCTAAAAAATTTTTGGAAAGTTTGCCTGGAATTTCTGGGGAGTCATTGAAAAGTTTCCTACGGATTCCTCACATGATAATGAGAGAGTTCCTAGTGGATTTTTCAGGAACTCGCCAGAAATTTCAGGCAAACTCCCCAAAATTTTTTTTAGAGATATTTCCATTTTTTGGTTGATCTTTGGAAACAGACTATGAAAAATTTTTGGTTTTGTATGTATCTTCTGGGGATTCCCGACATGCAATCTCCGGGGGTTTAAAACCCGATCGAGACTTCCAAGGGATTTCTCGAGGAAGAGTTGACTAGAGTGAGAGAAACAATGTGGAATTACAGATTCTTTCTAGCTATTCAAAAATAGTTATAGGGCTTGCCGTGAGTTCATACGAACTGGAGTAGTTATACGCCTAATTCTAATAATTAATGGATAAAAACTTGCCTAATGTTTTTTCTGCTTGTTGAGACAATTGGTCTGGTTTGTGATGCTGTTGCCATGTGTTTTGATTTTTATTGAAACGATATGATGGTGGTGGTGTGATCGATTTCTTCTCGGCGTCATCCAATGTAATATCATGTATTACAGACATAAGAGGTACAGGGGTAACAGATGAGCCACAATTATCTCGTTTTTCTTTAGTTCCCTTTTGAAATCGAGATTCATGTTGTTTCTTAGGCAATGTTTCGGTGCCAGATACCAGTGATTCAGGAGATGAATACAGAACATCTGTCTTGTCATTTCTCGGCGGAGCTACGACACATTTAATAGTCTCACCAAAAATCGATGAACCTGACCATTGTTGTGCAAATTTGTTTGCGTCTTCTTCATTAACAAAATCATTAATCCACACATAACGGGTATTATTTTTTCCGACCTTAGGAATGTAAATACGAGACTTTGGGAGACCTATATTCTGAGCTAATTGAACGTCGGTAATAGACGTCGGAATAGAAACAATTTTAACACGCCAACCATTATGTGCAATATTTGATGCCATTTTATTTTTTTAAAACTCAATTACTTTGAAAGAAATTTTATTATTATGAAATTGAAGTGTATGTCAGTTAACAGTTGAATTGTGAAAATAAAATTTCACAAACACAACACGAAAGAATAAAAAGCTCTCTTGTGGTACTCACTTTTTATATGACCAAACTGAGAAGACTGCCGTTTTTTCATTCTTCCTGTCTGTGAAAGATAATATTAATATCGAATGGGAAAAAACCCAGAAAGAAAAAATTCTCGTTGTGGGTTAACAGAATGACTCAAAAGTTCTGTTTCTTCATCACATATCTTTTTGTGCAAAGCAAAAAAGAATGTCGATAAATGTGTTTTTGAGAGGAATAAAAATGTAATTTGTATGGCTGAATTAAACAACCAATGAAAATCATTCCAAGTTTTTTCCCAGTTTTTATGATTCACTAGTAGATTGAAGATTAAATAAACTCTTGGAACATATCTAGAAATCAGGAGCGGCGCGAAGAGGTTGGAGCAGGGGAGGGGGCAATTCTAAAATCGGAGAAAGTCAAAAAAGTGTTCTCTAAACTGAAATGTTATCCGAATCAAAATTTTATAATATACTTCTCCAAAATCGGAGAAAATTGCCTACTCATTTTTGTCCAAAATTGGATTTTTCTGGATTCATAGAAATATATTCAATACTATTGTATAAATTCGCAGAAAATTCAAGTTTAGAGAACATTGTTGGGCGATTTTCTCCGATTTTGGAGAAATATATTATACAAGTTTCTCCAAAATCGGAGAAAATCCAAGTTTGGAGGAAACTATTAAACAGTTTTCTTCGATTTTGGAGAAATTTGTATAATATATTTCTCCAAAATCGAAGAAAATCGCTTAAAAATACCCTCTAAACTTGAATTTTCTCCGAATTTAGAGAAGCCTATCGAGTATATTTCTCCAAAATCGGAGAAAATTGCTTTGTAAATTCCCCAAAATCGGAGAAAGTACCAGCCAAAATTTTCTGGAGCAGGAGGGGGTGACCCCCTATCCCCCCCGATCGCGCCGCCCCTGCTAGAAATGGAAGATTTTATGAAATCAATTCGTGAAGAATTAATAAAATATGATAATGATCTTAATCAATTTAATGAAAAATCACATTTAACTCGAAAGAATTTATTTAATTATATTGATCGACAAATTGAATTTTTAAAGGAAATTAAAGAATATAAAAAAGAATTCAATTATCTTAATCAAGAAAATAAAAAGCATGTCAAATTGATCAAGAAAAATTTAATAAATTATATTTAACAATTAATAAAAATGAGTCTAATTTGACATGAATGTCAAAATTATTGAAAGAATTTAAAGATAGTTTTCCAATAAGATCAAAAATGTTAAAATGTGTTCCTCAATATGATTTTAAAGATATTCAAATAGATGATCTTATTATAAAACAAGAAATAAATCAAAATCAATACGAACAAAATTCTAAAACATTAACAACAATTAATCATAATTCATCTTCTAGTGTGATTAATGAACATACTGAATTACTTGTTCATAGCGATCAAATTTCATTTATTCCTATTGATACTACAGAAACTTCCTCAATATCAACAAATTCAATTGGTTATTCGCATCATTTTGCTTCACAGTTAAATTCTTTTTCTTAAAAATTTTTTTTCTAATTGAATTATTTAGAATTAATGAAATTGCATTTGAACCACAATCTTGTTTAACTTCAGCTTGCTCAACAGTACTTGGATCTGATGATATGGTTAATATTTCATTTAAAATTCCATATCAACATAATCGACATAACTGTTTAATATCTTTTAATGATGAAGAAAATTCTTTATTAATTTATTCATTATCTTCACGTAAAGTAGAACATTTATCTTTGAATTCACGTCAAATTTCTTCCATTAATCTTCCATTTAGTGAACCTATAGTACGTCTTGATTATTCGAAAAAACTTCGTTCATTTTATTGTAGTACTCGACAAACAAATCGTTTCATATTATTTCGATTAAATTAACAACAACAAATGATCGAAATCAACGGAGAAATTGATTTAAGGGATCATTCATAAAAGACGTCCTGCTGCAAATCGATTGTTTTTTCGAGGTCGAGACGAATGAAGCAAACGCGTTGTAAATAAGCAGATGAACACGTTCAAAACACATTTCCGCTCCGTTCGTCTCGACCTCCCTCTATGTCCGGTTCGATTTTAATCGATCCAATTTTCCACTCCGATGTCAAAAAGTTCTTCTGAAAAAAGCAAAAAATTAGTAATAATTGTCCGTACATCCAGATGCATTGACCCAAGGGAGAAACATTGTACTTTTGTACTTTAAAGTGGTTACAAAAACTTGAGCTGAACATGTAAACTCGAAATCTCGAGCTCATTTTTACGTCTGTATATTGCCAGTCAAACTCAGTTCATGTTTAATAATTAACTAACTTATAGTTCCTTAGTGCACTTAGTATAAAACCTCCTACGACTGATACGTGTTTAATATTTGCTATGAACTATAAAATATGGACTGAGCGTAAGTAGACTCGAAACTTCGAGTTTGCACAATTTTTAGCTTACTTTTTCGGACCCTTTCAAGCACTTTAATGTACTTGCGCACAAAGGCATACCATTTTCTGAAGTGACTTAAATAACGTACAACTAATATTTGTTCATTTCGATTAGCGTAGACTTAGTTTAAGAAAATAACTGAACCGTATAAAATTCGGCTAAAGGCTTCTGAGATTGATGATTCAGAATCTATCGATAGTTTGTTGACATTTCGAAGTTTGTTTTTAGCTATGGTGGAAATTTTACATTGAAAAAATAGCGACATTTTGTAAAACTTTCACTGAACTCATTAAGAGTTGATCTTTACAGTCACAAAGAATTAATTGTCAAGTTTTCGACCAGTCACCTATAGATTCAACATCGTTTATCTCGAAAACGTTTCATCAAGTTACATTAAAATTCAACTATTTTCTTGAAATATGCTTTTTCTAACCGAAAAAAAGCTTGTTCCCAGGTCAAGCTCGGTACGTTGGAACCGATCGGTTCCGTTGAATTCCGACGATTTCTTTACTACAGGATTCCGGTCCAGATTTCGTCGGACCAGTTCCGATCAGTTTCCATCGGTTCCGTCGATTTTCGACGAATTCCTGGTCGAAATTTTGCGGAACTTAACGGAATTTTTCCGGCGGAAACTGGACCCGAATCCTGTAGTCAAGAAATCGTCGGAAGCCAACGGAGCCGACCGAAAACCAACGGAATCTATAGGATCCGCTGCCGGAAAACAAAGGAAGCAAACGGTTCCGGCGATCGTAACAGTGGACCTGGGTTAGCGCAGCCCCTTTGGGGCTAAAATGTGGAACTCACATATCTCCTTTGGTTTCATTATACTAATGACAAAATACCCAATATTTAAAATTTCCAAAAGATAATAGTTCTTTTCTAAAGATAATCGATTCTTAGAAAATGCTATATTTTTATCTCTCAATTTTGAACAGAATATTTTTTCACGAAGTTGCAAAGGTCTGTAATGGGGGGTTGTCTGTAATGGTAGCCTACGTTGCTGTGGTCTGTAATGGAGGGGTGTCTGTAATGGGGGATGTCTGTAATAGGGGATGTCTGTAATAGGGGGTATGTCTGTAATGTTCTCTTTCCCGTTGCTATGTACCTGTAATGGGGTGGGGGGAGCCGCCAACCTCGAACTGAAAACTTACACTCACTATTTTCTTCGAAAACATACGTGAGTTCCACAAAAGATGCATATTGTTGGTTTTTTTTATTATTTCAATTTTTGTGATATTCTAAGTTTTTAATTGTTTTAGATCATTTTATTAACGTGTTTTTTGTAGTATGTTAGCGAGCGTCAGTACAAGATTTCTTTTTATAAGAATATCTAAAAAAATAACTAGAAAACGATCTAAAACAATTAAAACCTTAGAATATCACAAAAAGTGAAATAATCAAAAAAACTAACAATATGCACTTTTTTCAATGAAATTTGAAAAAACGTATTTTTTGTATTTTACTCAAAAGTCACATCTTTGAACGGTTTTTGTAAAGTCGGTCCGTATCAAAAAAAATTTCACGGTGATGCCTTTCATACGAAAAAACTTCAGTTGTTTTCTTTTGACAAATAAAGGAGTTAGAAGAATTTACTTTTCTTGCGGACTTTTGGGACACCCTGTATTGTCATTTTGCAAGAAATCAATAGAAATGCATGGAAATAAATTCTTTTATCATCACGATCGATTCAATAAGGCTATTGATTTAAATGAATAGATGGCTTTATTAATGTATAAATATAAATATCGCGTACAGTGTTGTTACTTTATTCTCATAGTAAAGGTTGTGAATTAGTTTTTTTTCTATTATTAATTATTAGATTAATTACTTTTTTATGCTTTATTGTAATAATGATAAAAAAATTGTGAATAATAATTTATTAGAGGATATAGGTGTGGAGTGTGAGTATGGGTGTGAGGTGTGCGTGTGCGTGTGGATGTGGATGTGGGTGAACATTTTTTCCAATGACTCCTACACTCACCCACACCCCACACCCACACCCTGATGGGTCTTTTGTAATTTTGATTAATAAACACGAAATGTGTCGGCAATTCTGAACAACTGCATTACTTCGTTTTTTATTTTCTCAAGCACAATCCTTTAGCCTGAAAATTAAAGTCTCACGTGTCGACTAGAAGATCGATTGCTGAAAAGCAAAAATTGGGATAAGCAGATTGATTTGTATTCGAAGTGAATATAGATTAATCTGCTTCTCGATTGATTTGCCTCAATTTTTGATATAGAGATCATATGTCAGACAGCGCATAAATTGACTGCTAAAGTCGTATCTAATATCGGCTTTGAGTTGAGTGAAAAAGGATGATAATTGAAAACGTTGAAATTTTTCGTGCCAATTATGCCTATAATCACGTGTCGACCATTGTAAGTGAAGAGAAATTCGCTTTAGTTTGTTGTCTGAAGCGAACACATGTGCCCACCAATCTGCTTCAAGTAATCTTTCCCAATTATCGCGACAACGAATATCGAGAATGAATGTATGAAGATTGGGACAACATGACAATAGAAGTTCAAGAAATGTACTACCAAACTCAGTTCCAAAATCATTGTCTTCTCCTAAGTTGAGTTTCTTCATTGTTATAAGACCCATAGTGATCCGAGTCGGTAACAGAATAGAAGACGCTGTTGTATTATCCCTCATCGGATGACCATAAAGTTTTGCTGAAAAAGAACGAAGTTGAGGACATTGATCCAAAAGTTGAATAGCCAAGATAACATGAAGTTTGCTCACATGTATGTAGAGAAGAGATGGAAAATGAAACATACATATATTGTCCAGAATCTGTAATTCCTGATCAAATACATTTCCATCTAGATACAATCGTTGCAGAAAAGGACAATGTTGGCGGAAGAAAATCATCGCGAGTTCATTATTACATCCGGACTCACCACAGTTGGCATTAACAGTGAGCGAAATAAGAGTCGAAAATGATTTGAAATGTTTCGCAATATTCAATGCATCTTCGTACGGATTATCATATGTCAATTGAAAATGTTGAATTTGTTTGAATTCTTCCATAGGAAACTCCTAAAAAAAAGGCGCCTTATTTCCATTTTCTTTGAAAATAGTTTAATTTTATTCATCAGCGGGGCAATCTAGTGTAAGGAGTTTATAGTAGAAATTTACAATAGAATATTCTGTTCAATTCTACCTGAAACAAATTGTTGTATCTCTTCTTGTGAAACATGAAGAGAAGACGAATAAAATTATAAAATGAGATTTACCTTAAACAAAATGTAAATGGAATTGGAATGATTGATTAAGTAAGATGAATATAGCGAAAGAATTTTAATAGACACAAGAAGTTGATTGATCCGTTTATTAATACCATTAAATGCCAAAAAAAGATTGATCCAGTCCAGATAATCGAAAACTTCAAGCCATAGTTCATTTGCTAAATCTTCAATATTTGATGGTACTTCGTCAGACATTTTTTCTTTGGTCGCTTCGTCAACTTAATAGTATCTGTGAGACTTTCACGAACAGAAATGTGATCATTTATTCTTCTCGCGTCCGCAAGTAAAAATAAGATTCAAATATCATTTGTAATCTTACGTACCAAAAAAGAAAAGAAAAAGAAAAACGCATACCTTCCTTGCTTTACCTTTGCTATGTGTTGATTTTAGACTTCTTTAAAGGGTATTGAAAACTAAAAACAGTAATTAAGCTGATCAGAAAGAGAGTGCGTGTGTGTGTGAAAGACTCAAACAACAAAAAAGTAAAAGAAAATTAT